AACTAATACCAACACTGTGGGCCAATAAAACTATATCGCTCGCGAACCTGAGGCTACTCAATTTCCCCCATTGATATGTTTAGTCATTTGTTTTTTCATTAGACTGAGGTTCTCAAAATTTTTTTATAAAACACTTTTAACACATTTTCAAGAAGCTTGGGGTTCTTGTAAATAAATATTTTGGAGATATTGTATAGCCTTAACAAAATCCACGACCAATATTAATGGGTTATACCAGCTTATGAAGGCTTACTGGCGAATGGAGCTATTAACTGTTTTGAAGTGTAGCGTGTTGTAGTGTACCTTTCATCGATTCTACAGATCGCAAGAGTTTTTCAGTTGTGATAATGAGTGAAATACGGTACTTGTAATTGTTTCGAATAATTATTTTCAGCTTCTAGAGGTGATCGTTGCAAAACCAGAGCGGAATTTAACTTATATGTGTGATATTTATCAAGCTTCTTAGTGAGTCGGTTGATGACCCTGGTAATAAAAAGTTTTTAAAGGTGTGAGAGTAGCTGCTACTATGTTTACTGTTTTTTATCTATCAGTCCATCAGAGATTTCTCCTGAGCCAATATTTGTAACTGGTGGTAGGTTTCCAAAGGGCTGGAATATCGTTGGGTCAGACACTTTGTAAACATAAAAACGCTGGCTACTGAGTAAGATCTTGTAACCTTGTATGATAATTGATCCTTGTTGGATCTCGATCAAGTCACTGATCACATTAAAACTTGCTTAGTGCAAATGGAGTTCGGGATTGAAAACATTGTAACTATGAGTTTTATAGACATATATGACCACAAAATACAAACATTTCTAAGAACAACATTACATCTACGATTACAATTTTGTTCATGTTAACTACTAATTCATCTAAAAAGTTACATGTAACTAAATATTCGATTTTAGTAACTACAACTGACTCCTACTTACGATGTTTTACTTCCCTGCAAAATTTAAACTATATATAATTTAGACATGGGGATAATGTAAAAAAATCCACATTTTTTGCTAAGTAACCACTGATAACCTATCATTTTAACTCAGTCTCAGCAAAAAGTGAGATAAAATATTTTTCTTTGCAGGTGTCGATTTTATAAATAACTAATATTAATCCTGTCAAATTCCTTCATGAAGAATGTAAAAGTGAGGGCCTTGAAAGTAAAACGATGAATAATTATTGAAATTAAAATAAACTGACTATCGGAGGCATCTTTTGTGGTGGCGGTGGAGGATGCCACGGTCGCGTCTTGATCTTCACCTTCGTGATTTCTGGCCAACGGCGCTTGAATCGCTGTTTTCTCATTAACGCTCTATATTCAGCTTCCCTGTTTATTTTTTCATTAAATTATTTAGTATTGTTAGACTTTAATAATGTATTTATCTGACTAGTAGTATTATGCCCACTCGCGTATTCATTTGTATCAATTTGAGTTTGATTTTGTTATTTAGGAATTGACAAATAAAACAAATAACTTTTATACATATGAATTTCCTTCAATAACCCTAGAATTTAACCTTTAGGTCAGGTATGTCTGAAAGAAACCATTAAAATTTATTTACAAGACCAAAATCTTGACGGAATCAAAAGATTGTAAAGCAAATTACGAAAACTTAGTTAAAGAAATAAATCTAAATGATAATAACTTACTCTCTAAGGATTTGAGAAGGAGTTTTAGGGATTTCTTCTTCTGCCGCTAACATCTCGACTGCAACTCCTGTCTTTCGTTTCTCTTCTTTCTTTTTATCATCCTTCTTTTCAGGCGGTGCATCTCCACCTCCAGGCGGCATCCTAAATAGAAAATCGATTTTAGAAATAAATAAGCCCAGCGCCGGCTCAAGGAAACTTGGCGTTCTAGGCAAAACATTGGAATATCGCCCATAAAAAAATCAACAAAATAAAATAAACTAATATAGGTAGTTAATTATCGCTATTCACTGCTTTACACCACTTAAAGAGTGTAATTTTGCCAATGGCAAAAGAAACTACTTAGGTACTGCTAAACCGATTTTTTTTTACTTTTGTATAATATGGGCCCGTGTTCGCCGACTTTTTTTTACTTTTGTATAATACGGGCCCATGTTCGCGAAGTCGTGAAGTCATGATAAAAAAAAGATTTAAGGAACTGATTTTGTTTAGGCGCATGGTATGGCAACAATTTGATTGCCATGCCACGCTGCTCTAGGCAGTTGCTTATTTTGCCTATGTGGAGGGGCCGGCCCTGAGTAAGCTTTATTTATTTTAAAAAGGAGTAAGTAGATAATTGATACCGCATATAAAACTATGTTCATAAAATTAGATGTTTGTAGTGTCTGCTTGGATTATATATAAAATTTAATATTCATGTAGCGTCAACATTTAAAAGCAGCAAGAAACACCTTATTTTTTTACAATCTGAATTGTCTTTGTGCAACGATTTGCTATTAATGGATGATATTTTTCTTTTAGCACATTTTATATAGATACGTAGGACTCGTGACTTCGCATTCTTTTGCTATGATTAGCAAAGCAAAACTTACGTCTCATTTTTCGTAGGGTATCTTTCACCCGCAAAGCCACTATTTTTTGCATATTTTGATGTCATTCTTTCTTTGGTTTTACTTTTCAGCTAAAAAGAAAATAAAAAAAAACATCGTTTTTTTTCCAAATTTAATTTAATTTCGAAGATAGTTGTCTACTCCGTAAGAGAAACCTCTATTGCTCTATCAAATATTTCATTATGAAACAGAAAGAGATGAATAATTGGGTTTGAACTATATTTAGCAGTACATTATCGTATTTTTCTACATCCCTACCCACTTCTGTCGCTCGGAACCTTCTATGGTGACCACACCATAGGTAATTACGAGTTAAGCACCAGCTTATCGCCTCAAGGTTTATGAAGCCTGCTATTGCTATCGTATACCCGCTATATTTCTACCTCTAACAAATACCTGTTCTTAGCGACGGAAAGGATAAAGCGACTGAAAAAGGCAATACCGAGCTGCGACATGTACCTCAACCCTAATGATTGTGAGGGTAGCTTAGAATATAACTTTCAATTGAGTGAGGGTAGTTTAGAATATAAGTTTTCTTACTTTTTATTTTTGTCTGTCATTGCCTACGCACGTAGACTGAATCAACACTTCTTCTGTAGTTTACACGAATTATCTTTGTATCTTACATATATTCTTTGAGTGTAATCTGTAATAAATAATTTAAAAAACATAAAACTGACTCAACGTCGCCCAGATGCTTAAAATTGTTAAAATAACTAATAGTTACAAAGCTTTACGCTTAGTGTAGAGCCAAAAGGGCTATGGGCAAACTCTGAGGGCGACGCAAGCGAGAGCGACAAGTATTTAAGATATTTTTGAAAGTCGTTTAACGCTTTTATTGTATTTATCGACTTAATAGTGATATTCTCAACCCACTTTAAATACCGAGTTATGTGCTAGCCGGGGACAAATCGCGCTTGCGATGAACACTTATTTATGATTTAATATATTTTACATATTATATCTACAGTACCTATTTGTTAGAACTTACCTTTTTTTTATTTTTTTACGTGTTTTTTTTTTGTATTTTTATTAAAATTCGTACCACATCACATGAAGCATGTCCATGGATTTTAATTTTGACAGTTTTTCAAAAGTCGAATTTCAAAGAAACAAATTATCGAAGGTTTCAGTTACAAAATGTTTTAAAAAGTTTCTTTTTACCATTATAATTTTTGTAAGTATCCGAACGTGTATGATTGATTATCTGTAACTGTTTAAGTGTCGCCATTACACAGTTGCCGTATAACACGGCAATTAGAGACACGGCATATATATGTTACCCATGTAAGTTTGTATTTGTATGTAAATTTAATTGTCTAAAAAGAGACTTGCCTCTTGATTTTTGTTATAATAATATAACATTATTCTTACTCTAAAGTTTTTAACATCTAATGAATCACTGCAACTTACTGCCGCTAGTAGGTAACACTTGTAAAACAGTCTTTTTTAAAGAATGGATATATCTTTATTCATACATATTTCACCTAAGATTTGGCTGTATGGCTTAGTTCCTTCGCCTGTCCCATGGACGAAACTACTACTACTACTACTCATACATATTTCATTCGTTAACAAAAAAGGAATTCAGATATGTTTAGGAAGTAGTCAGCCTTTATATTCACAGCAACGTAGCAATGAAGTCTTATGTATGTTTTATTGTTGTAGTATTTTGTTATTTTATGTGGATAACTAATATTGACCTTCTAAGAAAATGCTAGAATTAAGTATTGAATTGTAATTTGAGGTCAAATAAATTAAAATAAAATAAAAACGTTGGCAACATTTACTCATAAGAAATTATTGTAAAATATAAAGCCTATTAGAGCTTGACACTTCTGTTAAATATAAAAAATGATTCACCTAATGATCTGAATCATTGTTAAAATGTGTCCTATAAGTAATTATTTGTTTCATTCTTAATGTGTATGTGATCGCCGTGATCAAATAAAATGTTATAAAACTGCGATTTCATATCCTTTGTTTATTTAATCACATATTACAATAATTTTACAATTGCACGCTTAGCGTCGTTGAAATGGAGAAGAAAGAAGAAGACTGTGTTGCCATCGTTCAAAATGATTTTTGAGATGAGAAAATAATACATAACAATTGTTTTATGAGATATGTCGCAGCCAACTGGTTAAAATAGCCGTTCAATTGGGTGGCTAGCCATTCAATTGCACTCCTAGTTTTCTAGTATGAATCATTATGAAATTTGGACCATTTAACAACAATGACCTAGGACTTAGCTGCGACATAAAGATATACAGCTATATGTATTTGTAATAAAGACCGGTTACGATAAATCTAGTTAATAGTTATGAGCGTAATGTATATTGTACCACGTAAGGTTTATTAGGTAATTACCAGTTTTTTTATCATTTAAGACTATTCAGCGATGTATCAACTCATAACACGGCATTATCACGTTTTTAATGATAACCCTGAGTCTTACGAACACGTCACTTACGTCGCGTCGACAATCGAAATGTCAGTCTGGCATTGTAGTTTGGGAACTTGTGTTTGCAGTTGTAAAAGTGGCGCTTTATTTAATACGATTATGATATAGATCAACAAAACTGATCACGATGGTAGATGAAAGTACAAGGAAGACATTGAGCAGCATACCCCTGCTCCAAACAAAAGCAGGCCCAAGAGATAAAGAATTATGGGTGAATAGATTAAAAGAGGAATATCAAGCCTTAATTAAGGTAAAATAGTTTATAATACTCTTAGTTTTCTCGAATAAACTATTAAGCAATGTTATTTGTACTTAAAAATATTAAAAAACATTTTTACTTTTCGATAGAAAATAAGCATGCCAACAAGGAATTACTACATAATATCTAACTTTCACTGCATTATCTTATATCAACACACATTGTTAGGCTGTTTTGTTTAATATATCATGAATCCCAAATTGTTATTAAATATATAATATTGATTAGGATTTATTTCAATATTTTTTTGCAGTATGTTCAAAATAACAAAGCTGCAGACAATGATTGGTTTCGTTTAGAGTCAGATAAAACAGGCACAAAGTGGTTTGGCAAGTGCTGGTATGTGCACAACTTGCTGAAGTATGAATTTGATCTTGAATTTGATGTAAGTATAAACTAATAATATGCTTAAGCCCTGACGAATAAGCAATGTATGAGTGTTGTATTTAGTTATACAGTGTTTTGTCTTTTCCGCTCTTACTAAAAGTCATATTAAAATTATGTGAACAGAGCTATGTGTAACTATAAGAACTATTATATCTTTCTTATTTGTAAGGGCTATAGACTTTAAGGTCCTAAATAATCAATAAAAAAATATGAATCATGTGCTGTAAATTAGGTATCATGATTTAAAATATTACAATGGTTGTAATTAATATACAAACATTGTAACACCTGTCTAATGTTCAAGATTATTTGTGGCTTTTGTAAAATGTGTTATCGTTCATCACTCTCGTTGCTGCAATGTTGCTAAGTCTAAGTCAATTCAAGTTTTCAATGAATATTGATAGGATGTTAAGAGGAAAATAATATATGGTTTATTTGAAAGGATTTTACTTATATTAAATAAATATTATATCGGCTAGAATTGGGAACTCTGTGATGCATGATAATTTTAAAATCCATTTCTAAATTGACTCAACTGGGATTTAACATAGGTTTTTTAAGATGTCAACTTTGCAGGCACAGCAATCAATAATCAAAGTTTATTTTTTTTTTACAGATACCAATTACATATCCAACTACAGCACCAGAGTTGGCATTGCCTGGTCTCGATGGTAAGACTGCAAAAATGTACAGAGGTGGAAAAATTTGCCTTACCGATCACTTCAAGCCTTTGTGGGCGAGAAATGTGCCTAAGTTTGGCATAGCTCATGCTATGGCACTTGGAGTAAGTTTAAATATAATAATTTAGACCATTTTAATTTTATTTTAAAAAACTACCAAGGGCTACTAACTACTGAATGTGAATCAGAGTTTATTAACTATTTTATGATAGTGATTGTAGTAGTCAACAGAAAAAGGCATTATTACTTTTTTATTTTCTTTACTTAAAAACAGAGGTGTCTATGTCCATCAGCCAGTAATTCATATTATGTAATTTGAATATTAATTTTTAAGTTGCAGAGGTTTACAAATTGTGCCAACTAAGGAGGATATAATATCCATGGAATAACTATTAGTCTCTCCTTTCTGCTCAAATCTATATATATAAAAATGAATCGCAAAATGTGTTGGTAAGCGCATAACTCAACAACGCCTCGACCAATTTGGCCAAATCTTTTTTTAAAATGTTCGTTGAAGTTCAAGGATGGTTTTTACGGCGAGAAAAATTAGAATTATTGCTGGAAAAACCCTAAAAATAGCCCTTTTCTTTTTCCCATACAAATGATTTGTAACTAAAACGTAGTCAATTTGAGCTTTATTGCTATGGTATAAAGTTCATATCAAATTACAAGCACTCACTGTTGTCTAAGCAATGTAGGTGTGTTCCTAACGTCAAAGATCATATCTATCAAAACAATGTGCGTGTGTGCGTTGGAGCACAGAATACATAGTTGGAGGAGTTTAATGTCGCGTTCCGAAACTCGCGTTTCTTTTGTATTAGTTTCGGCACGCGAGATAAAATGCATCAGTTTCCACGTCATTACATGTATTGCCGGAACATTGATGAAAATACGCTCTGTAGTAGCAAAGCTGTTGGGTCCTAGATAGCTCATTGGTTAGAGCAGTCCCTGGATCGCGAATGGGTTCGAGTCCCATTCCGGGGTACAGGTAGATGGATTCTTCCAGCATTTTTCCTTGAGAATGTTTATATATTTTTTTAATTCGAATAGTTTACTTTTATAATGCTGTTGTGTGTAATGTGTTTTTATGATCATAAAAATCTCTTTTTTCTATATTTAATACTATTACTATTAATACATTGCAATAATAATTATGATTCACATGATTAACAATAAAGCGATTACTTACTTTTAAATCCTTATATATGTTTTATTTAATTATTTTTTATTCACAACGCCCTATCACCAGGGTGACGGTTCTGTTCAGGAGAATTTTTTTAAATACGTAGGCAAAAAAACTGCCACATTACAAATCTTTTTGACAGGACGAAGTCTGTCGGGTCAGCTAGTTATATATAATTTTAATTGACAATTCCTTATATGAGCATATTCTAAACCTCTGTTTAAACTGTAATATTGGTATTATTTTACTATAATAACTGGTAAGACTGGTAAATTTTTTAAACAGTTTTCTATATTATTATTGTTTTAAAATATTAATTTACCCTGCTTTTGTCAACAGCTAGGACCTTGGTTGGCAGTAGAAATTCCTGATCTGATAGAGAAAGGTGTCATAACTTATCAAGAGAAATCAGAAGAGGCAAAATGATGTACAGGCAATGTTATGAATTGTGTATATATAGAATTATGTACTGAAAATATATGTATATTTAATTTTTTATGCCATCTTAATTTTTTATTTCAGTCATTCATAGAAACACTATTATAACAAGTTGGGTTCTTAAATGTTGTTTGGATGATAACCAAAGTTAGTAGAGGGATATAGTTTTTTTTGTGGTGCTATAAACATGTATATAACAAAGACTTAAATACATGTTTATTTTCTAAACACCAACAAATTTGCAGGAATTGATATTCAACCTCATGCATTCTACCGAGGAAAGAAAACTAAATATAAATTATATTCATGAAGTGCACAAAAGTTTTGAACAAATTTTATGAGAGCAATTTATCTTTATCAAAAAAATTAAGTAGGTATAGTTACACACATTTCTATGAGTTGCTTGCTTATCGTAAATCTAAGGCAGCTTACGAACGTATCTAAATAATATTAGTGATTCAATTCTGTTGGCAATAGTAAAGTTTTTCAATATACTATAACAGTTTATAGCTTTTTATATAACATATAGTTTCCTTGAAGATTATAATAAAGAAAACTTGTTGTTGAACTAAAATAGTTTTAGTTGTAAAACAATAAAATGTTTTATTTAAAAAATATAAAGTGAGTACACATTATTTAATATTAAATTGACGTCTTTAAGGCAATGTCTAATGGTTGCCTATTTATTTATTGTTACGCGTTCTTATAATAGCCATCATCCAATAAGTGGGGGTCGATGCAAATCTGACCGAAAATCTGTAAGCGTCTCACGGCAGACTTATCAGCCAAAAGACGTCCTGAATGATTGATAGGGAAAAAAATGTAGGACAATTCAAAAGTACTTTTAAGAAGTCTATTTGGATAAAGATTATTTTGACTTTGACTTTTACTATGCAGGCGGACAATTCGTCGAGTGTGAAAAAGGTTGAATGACTTGAATGTCATATCTTATATTTATCAGTTGTGATCTATGGTTACGATGTTACGAGTTCGGGCCCGACAACTACAGCACATCTTGTCAGATATGCAATGGCCCCTATATCTACAGAGTATCTATAATACTCTGATATTTATACGACCTCCGTAGTTGAGTGGTTCGCACGCCAGTTTCAAGGTGTCGCCATTTCGGAGATCCCAGATTCGATTCCCGGTCGGCTCAATGAAGAAAATTAAATTTTCTATACTGTTCCGGGTCTTGGAGTTGTGGTACCTTCGTTGTCTCATATACTCCATAATACGAGGGCTTTAGCTACTCATCTTGAATTTGAGCAATGTATGTGATGTTGTCTAATATTTAATTATTTGCAACGCGTACCGCTCATCGATATCGAATTGCGTCGCATCCAGCCATGAGTAAAGAGCCTGACTCCCACAAAGATTGATTTTTGCGGCCTAACAATTGATAATTTGTTAATTGAAAATTTAACAACGAACAATTAATAAATTGTTAATTGAAATGCCACAGTAGACAATTTATCAATCTTTAATTGTTATTTCGCAAATTAACAATTATTGAATTATTACTTGTTAAATGCAATTAAATTTTGCCCAATTCTGATATGATCCAGCCGGTAGCTGCCGGGTCAAAGAAGAATCCCAACCACCAGCATTCATTATTACAAGTTTAGTAAAGTGCTTATTTATATTGAGAGGCCTATACATTTGCCACGATATGCCACATTTGTAATCGATACAGTTACGTCACTATACAGGATATGTGTAACTGTTCCCCACTAACGGAACTACCCATTCAATGGTAACACCACTAAGAGCGTGAAAAGGGTAATGAGCGCTTTGGTAATGACACCACATTAATGCCCGGCCGATTGTAAGCCACCCTTAGAAATATAATGATCATCTTGACCAGCCCTTTTTACGTCCCCACTGCAGGGGCGTCCACAAGGAATGCCTGACCTTCCTTACAAATTAACATTTCCATTCTATTATATTATATCTAATTTCAGGAGCGCAAAAGCATCATTTAAGCTATTTTGCTTTTACATAATAGTTTTAACTTGGACATTACCTAAAACGACTGCGAGGGTATGAATAATCTACTTATAATAATTTATATTTAAATAAGAAATAATAAGATAATATCGAATTTTTTAAATAAAATCCGATCTGGATTTTGCTTAAAAAATCGTGATGCTATTCTGTTAATGAACAGCATTTAGTACTGAAGTTTTTTTTGATTGAACTTCGTAGAGAGAGAGAAAATACTTACTATTCTGTTTTTACAACTGACCTCCGCTGTTTAATTTATACAAATCTAATAATATCTTAACACAAGTAAATTCAATTTAATATTTTGACTTTTTACTTTTACAGCCTGTAAGTATATTTTATCAAATCATATTTACCAATTATTTATCACAAAATACTTAAATCGAATACGTTTTCGGTCTTCCGTCCAATGACCGGTTATTGTATCGTGAAAGAACACGCTCAGGGCGCTTGTGCACTACACTGAATTTTCAGGTGCGGCGGTCCGATTTTTTCCGGTCCGGAATGACATGAAAAACCCGGATGAGTAGCTTGTGCACTAATCCGTTTTTTCCTGATCAAAGCGCCGCAGTGTAGGGCAGCTCTCTTTCAAGCTACACGTCACTTACGCTAGGTACGATGAGATTTTTGGAACGTCGGTAATTGCGCTCGAAGACGTAGAAAGGTACCTAAATAATGACCTGATCATTTTACATAAACCATAATAAATTATGGCAAGACGAAAGCATTTTTATTACTACTATCGGATGACTACTATCAGATGTAAAAACTTATACACTTACTAATTTAGGAACAGCATTATTTACATACAATAACCAAAAATATCTGTGCCATTAGAATAAAATTACTGATAATGGTCTAGTACTTGATGTTTAAATTTTTAAACGTGCTACTTTTTTTTCGAAGTTTTGTAAAAACAACTTTCAGCGATTACAGAGATAGACCAAGCGGTGGCGCCATTTTGTAAACAAATCGAAATTAGTGCCGTGTAAGCGGAGAATTATAATGTTAAATGAACTTTACGAGATCAATTGACTGTATTATATATAGGCGTAATTTTATACGCGTGGTATAGTTTCTTTGAGCAGAAATATTTTTCCCTTAGAATACTTCTTTTTTTAAAATTTATTAATGACTCAAACATTCATTTCAAATTTTATTAAATGCGAAAAAGACATTGAGTGTTACTTAATTACTTCTGTTAATCTTCTGTTTATTTTTTATTATTACTTCTGTTGTCAAATATTTATCTATACTTATCAATTGTCTAAAAAAAATTTGATAATGACAAATTGCCAGGCAAACTTTCATCCCCTATTTTTCGCGATATAATGTAGCCTATGTCCTTTCTTAAAGTTAAGTCTATTTACTATATTAATTTCCATTAAGAAGGAATAAATATTAATTTCCAGTTGTTTAGGCGTCTAAGCGTAACAACACTTATATATCTTACCTTAAGCTATCGATACTTTTAATACGATTCTAAAATCTAGCTAAGTATCGATACTAGAACCATACGCTGATCAAATTAGAACTATACTGAGTTTGCCAAAGCATATGCAGTGATATATACCAACTATATTAAATCATCATATAAAATATAGCATTTTATAATCTACAATAAATATCGATTATAAGTTTATTGGAAATTAACAATATCGCCGAAATAAATATCGATTCAAATCCATTATATTTTCCCAAGCCTATTCTTTATGAATTTTCCGGATCTCGGACACAGCAGTGCACAAGCGTAAATACGTTTATCATTGCCGTCATCACGGATCTGAAAAAACCGGTCCGGAATAGAGAAAAGTAAAATTCCGGACGGTAAAATTCCTGACAGTGCATAAGCCAGCATTACCTACATATGGCCTGATATATCGGACCTGAAAAGTCGGACCGCCGGACATGAAAATTCCGTGCACAAGCGCCCTAACATTGCGCTGTCTGTCGCGTAGATGGCTTAGCTACGGCTACAACATCTCGAGTTCAATATTATATATTTTTTATATTTTTATTTTAGCAAGATGAAGAGGTAAGTGTTTATCGAATAAATAAGTTCCTATAGGATTTTTCTAAGAAAACTGTTAAATTCAGATGATTAATTAAACTTTATTTTAAATGTAGGCAGCGCCAGCGCCAGCGGCGGTAAGTATTATATGCATTTTTGTACCTAACTAGGACAGATGTCCCGGTTTTGGCTATTTTAAGGTTGAGACCTAGTTTTAGCCATTTTTAGTCACGAGAAAGTGAACGTTGACACTTCACAGCTGTCAACAGTATTCGTTTTGCAACATTTTATAAACCGTGCTTGGAAAGTAATATTGCCTATGCATTAGTTACAACGCCTTGAAGTATATGGGCAAAAGGAGGCAGTGGCCAGTGGCATCATTACAGGGTCGGCAAAATGCCACGGACCTACAGCTGGAAGCGGGCCGCGGTTAGAGGAACTCCCAATTCTAATTATTGTTTAAAATCTAATGAATTTGCCACGGACCTCGAACGGTAAAGGTATGCTACTGGCAGTGGCCAACCGGGTCTCTCTTTCTCTTTAGTCGTTCACTCTTACAAAGTGGTCATGGTTTCATGATTCCTCTGTTTTTGATAATGCCTTGGCGATGCGCGTCCACTTCTATCTTCAGTGTTACGCCAAAATTGACTCATGGAGGTTTTTGTCGCGGTCTTTATGGTGTCAGTCCAACGAGTAGGAGATCGATGATTGCCCGTTGGACTTCTGCCGTAAATCGGGGTCTGCCTGAATAAATGATCAATGAGGCCTTTCTGTAATAAATGTGAAAGATCCTACGGATATCTTTTCATACTCTACTTTGTTTGCCCATTGAGAAGTCTCAAGTTTTTAGTCGTGGCAATTAAGGGCGGATAAGTAATTATCTACATTTTATTTTATTGCATTCCACAATGCACTATTAAGATTTTCATAAAAACAAAAGTATTATAATGGACCCCGTCGGGCACAACAAATGTGGTTTTAACCCTTCGCCTGCACTGTCATAAATCGCGCTTAAGCACTTCTACCTGTCATTAGTAATCTGACACCGACAATTGATAACCCTTCTGTTTCAGGAAGGCGAGGAAG